ATTTGTGATCCCAGTTTATAATATGCAATTGTGTAACTGATTTAGACTTGGTTTTACATTGAAATTGGTTTACAAACAGTACTGTAATACTTAACAGAATATATTTCCCTCCCCTCCCACCATTTTTTTTAAACTTTAAATTCAGTAGATTTTACAGTATCTGGAATGGTTTGTCAGACAATGTTAAAACAAATATAAGTTTATGAACAGTTTAAAAACCTCTATAGAAATTTAAGTTGTAAATGCCCCCCTTAACTTGACTATAACAAATTTCCTACATTTATAAATTGAATAAGATTGAAAATCAAAATAAAAGTTAAGAACGAGGCTTCTCAATTTTGAACTTCAATGCATTAATACCTTTAACAGCTAAAGTAGCCCCTGAAGTAATATTTGTGTGTAGAGAGGTCATCCTCAAGAGGGCCTCACATTGACATACAAATCCAGGTTTAGATCCTTACAACATAATACATGACAAAATTGGGTCAAATTCCTAAATGACAAAAATGCCCCCTCCTTGAGATAGTACATGAGTTTTCTAGGTGACCACAGTCTTCCCCACTGCTCCCCACCCCACCCCACCTGACCCCCGACATCGCTTAGTCACTCATTTACCCTTACATTCCTGGTCCTTATAAAATCATTTCCCATTTCAACCCATGCATCTAGAGAAGTGGTTCTCAACCAGGGGTGATATTGTCCCCCAAGACCCAGTTGGCAAAGTCTGGAGACATTTTTTTGAAGATTTATGTATTTATTTATTTGAGAGAGAAAGAGAGCATGCAAGCAGGGGTGGGGAGGGGGGGGGAGGAACAGAGGGAAAGGGAGAGAGAGAATTCTCAAGCAGACTCCCCACTGAGCACGGAGCCCAACATGGGGCTCGATCCCAGGACCCTGAGATCATGACCTGAGCCAAAACCAAGAGTCAGATGCTCAACCAACTGAGCCACCAAAGCACCCCTGGAGACATTTTTATTACAACTATGGGTGGATGCTACTAGTATCTAGAGGGTAGAGGCCAGGGATGCCGTGAAACATCCTACAATGTATAGAGCAGTACCCAACCAGAGAGAATTATCCAGCCTAAAATGCCAATCGTGTTAAAGGCCAAGAAATCCTGACCTAGAAGAAAATATCTAAAATCCTTCAACATGGCCCAGAGGATTTATGATGACCTTTGTATATTCTGGAGACTAATCCATTGACATTAAATGGGCCACAAATATCTTTTTTCTTCATTGTTTATATAGTTCTCTTTTTTATCTAAGTTCATAAATTTAATGAGTTTCTCTTTCCTTTAAAATTTGTTTTTTATTTCCTTCAAGGTATCCTTCCCTACATTAAGGTTAAAGATACTCTTTTGTTCCCTTCTAAACATCCTTTAAGTATTTCACATTTACATCTTCAATCCAACTGGAATTTATGTGTTGGAATTCAGAGATGTAATTTTGTTTCCATATGGATAACCCATAAATTCAAGAGCATTTACTGACTAGCTCATCCTTCTCCACTAACTGGTAACACCAATTTTGTCATATACTGAATTTCCAAATAAATTCTCACCTGTTTCCAGACTTTCTATTTTCTATTTATTACTGTGATGTCATTATTTTAAGTTACACTTTGATTAGGAGACCGCTATCTGATATCATGGTTCCTTCCCCAGTCTTCTTCAAATTTACTTTTACATATGATTTTCAGTATCAGCCCTCTTGTAATTTTATTGAAAATTGCATTGAGTTTAAAGATTGGGCAAAGATAATTTTTCTCATTCATGAACATCGTATCCGTATTTGGATTTTTCTATGACTTTCAGTAAAGTTTAATGATTTCTCCATAATGATAATGATAGACTTATTCCTGTGTTCTATATATGGCTTATTTTTGAGGTTTTTGTTCTTCTAGTAACTTTTCTTTAGTTTGGATCTCGTTGTAGAAGGCAAACTTGCTGTCTCTTGGAATTTTTTACTTAATCATATCACCTGCAACAGTTTCTTCTGCAATACTTACTAATTTTTATCCAGTGTGCTGGCTCTGATCTCTAGTACAGTTTAGAAGAGTGAGTGTCTTCATCTCGGTCTTGACTTTAAAAGACATTTCCTCTAATGCTTCACATTTAAACATGACTTTTTCTTTTTAGATATTTGGCAGATACTTTCTATTAGGCTAAGAAGGTTTTTTCAATTAGTGGTTTTCTAAGTTTTTAACATCTTGAAGCCATTTATAACACAAAGCAGGTTTGTTCTTTAAGCATGCCCAGTCTTGAAGGACTTATTCTTATATTCGGAGTTGCAGCTGGAAAGCCTTCCTCCATCTTTGAACCTGCCTCCTTTTTACTGCTGGCCTTGCTCAGCGTCTTTCGGGAAATCCATTTAGTTTAAACCTCCCTTTGATCAGAATACTGTTCAGTTTCCAGAGATTAGCCCATTCACTCACAAAAAGAACTTAAGGGCCTTAAAAATTACCTCCAATCATTTCACAGTTTGCAAGAGTTAAAAGTCCAAGTCAGAAGCCTGGCTATTAATTGTGGTCAACACATAGAGCCAGAGATAAATCTCTTAAGATTCTTAAAAGGAAGAATGCACATGCCTCAACATTCCTTTCTCTTCAAGACCTTCTCTAACTCCCTGGTCAATATAGGAGCTAGTCCGGCAAAACTGCTAACAAAAATGTACCCCAGAGCTTCCAAGGGGCTGGAACAGCTGGAAGAGGATTTAAGTGTACATTCTCACACATGTGAAGGAAATACTTCCAGCAGGGAAAGAGAAGTGTTATCAACTATGATGGGTAACAAAGATTCAGTAAAATTCATGGGCCTTATAAAAATGAAATGACATTTCAGTGCTGTTTCCCATCTTTTTTTCTATGGGAAAACACAAAATGTTGAACAGTTGGCTTTTCCTTTGTTTCTTTCATTCTTTCTGTGCCACAGTTACTGCGGCACTCTTTTTATTTTATTTTAGTCTTTTTTCTTCTTCACAACAATGAAGGGGAGAAATAATTCTTCATACTGCTTTCAAGCCAGGATGCATCAGTATCGTACCTGGGAAGAAAACGGCTAGGTTCTGGGACAGGTGGGTTTTTCTATTTTTTTTTTTTTCCCTCTAGTCAAAATAAGTATGTTGTTAGAGATTTTCTCAGCCAAAATACAATGTTTGGCTATTTCATCTTGAGTGCCATATATAACTTTCTGAAAATGTCAGAACATCTTATGCAGGCAGCATGCCTGGAGTGAACATCTACATCCCTGGGTGGAACCAATTTACCTGGAAAGTCTGAAACCTTTTTTTTTTTTTTTTTTTATTTGAGAGAGAGAGAATGAGAGACAGAGAGCATGACAGGGGGGAGGGTCAGAGGGAGAAGCAGACTCCCTGCCAAGCAGGGAGCCCGATGCGGGACCTGATCCCGGGACTCCAGGATCATGACCTGAGCCGAAGGCAGTCGCTTAACCAACTGAGCCACCCAGGCGCCCCTGAAACCTTTTTGAGTGTCATTTAAACAGCCACAGGTTGCTTGCTGACTAACCAAGCATCTCAAAGCATGTATCTGAGCTTTCATTTGTCTTTTCCAATTGTAAAAAGCTATGCATCTATCTTGTACTCTGAAAGTTAGACAGACGTACCACAATATCCCTCACCCACAAATGTGGTGGCTGGGGTGGCGATGTGTGGGTGAGAAACACTCTTCTGAGGAAGCAAAGAAAAAGACCAAATCTGCAGTAGGGTACAATCAAATCCAATTTTCCAACCTATCTTTGTTAAAAGCAGGTGGCTGATGACTTGCAGTAGAAAAGCAACATTATTTATTTAAAAAGCAATTCTCTGTGGCCCTTCCCTTTGGTTACTTTCTAAATTATTTTATGTATTTCCTTTCTCTGGTAAATGGAAAAAGATATTTGCCTTTTTGATTTTTCACTTTAATAACTTTATTAGTATCAGAAAGAAGTTAGGCCTAGACTGATATTAAAATGAAAAGTGCTCCTCCACCCATTTTCTAAAACAAACAAAAATATATTAGATAAATTTCAAAACTTCAGTTATGTCAAAAAAAACCGTGACTCTTCTGTTCTATAGTAGCAGGTATGATACATCAGAGATCTCCCCCAAATCACATCATAAACACAAATACATTTTCAACCTCTTCCCACACATTCTCTTCTCCCGTGAAACCTTCACACATCTACCACTTGCCTCATATTTTATGCAACTTTTTGGAAAACTGCTTGATACACAAGCCTGTTTTGAGAACTGTAAAGCTGCGGTCAGTTAAGTCACCTTTCCTGTTTTCCTAACAGCTGCAGAGTACGGTAGTACCTCTCTTTAGCCACACGTAGCGCTGTCGTGCAGAGAAATTCAAGATAATCCCCTTTATTTTGTTGATTTTAACAAGGAACCCTCAAATTTTATGCCACATGTAATGGGCTTGAAACAGATTAATTAGCAGGATGTGAATTTAGAATTCTTGTTTCGGAGGTAGAACAAATCCTTCCTAGTGCCTCCTTTTTGCTCATCCTCCGCCCTTCTTTTCCCCACCCCTTTCCTTTTCCAGCGCGGGAGTAACAGGGGGGAATTATAATACTTCAAGGTTTATAATATTCTGTTAAATCAAATACAGCAAATACAGAAACCTCTTGTTGGAAAGTTCCTGAGGTAAAGGGAAACTACGATATCGACTATTTTTGCAACCGTGAAAACTTTCAATTTTGAGAAGAATAGTGAAAATACAGCACTGGGCTAGCGTAGCCTCCAAGACTGCGCGCGTCCTCCTTCCCCCTTAATTTCTTCAACGCTAACCGCGGACTCAGATACCCCTGCGGTCGGTAACCACCAGGCCCAACACGCCCCCAGCCAGCCACCAGCCACCGGGAGCGCTCGCAGAGACGCAACTCGGCCCCTCCTCCGCCAGGAGGCGTGGCCCGGCGTGGAGGCGGGGCGCCACGCCCCCAGGAAGGGGCGGGACGGCCTCCCAGCCACCCCCTCTCCAGAGGCGGGGGAGGGGTGCGGGTCCGGAGGGACGTCGTCCGGAAAGCCCGCCCTGGTTGGAGGGAATTTAGAAGAAACGGGGGCGGGAAGGAGGCGGAGTCTAGTTTCCCTGGTGACGGGTTGCCCGGCGGTCGCCTGGTAACCAGTCGCGGCGGTCCTAGGTGCGGCGGCTCTGGCGGCGGAGGCCGCGGAGGTCTGTGGGCCGGAGCCCACGCCGGGCGCTTTCCGCCTGCTTCGTGATGGCGGCCGCGGCCGCAGTGGTCACGCCGTCAGGTTTGGAGGATGGAGTGTCTCGGTCCCGCGGCGAAGGGTCAGGGGAGGTGGTCGTGGAGCGGGGGCCCGGCGCGGCCTACCACATGTTCGTGGTGATGGAGGACCTGGTGGAGAAGCTGAAGCTGCTCCACTACGAGGAGAAACTCCTCCGGAAGAACAACCTGAAGCCCCCGTCCAGGTGGGTGCCCCCGTCCTCCAGCGCCTGGGTGCCGGCTGGACCCCGGGGAGCTGCCTCTCCTGGCCTCCTGGGGAGCCTTGAACGCGAATTAGCGCTTGCCTCCATCTTCCTAGCCAGGAAAGGGCACTTCACCCCAGACTTGGCGACAGAGGCCACGGAGCTCACAGAGTTTAGCTTTGGTATTTTTTAGAGAGAGTGAAGTTTCAGAATCGCTGAAAGGACCGGAAGACGGCTTGGCTTTCTTAGTCTTTAAAGCACACACAAACCTCCACAAAACACAAACTTTTTCTCTGATTATAAAAGTTATAAAAGTACCTATTGTAGAGGACTCAGAAAAACACAAGTAAGTATGTAGAAAATACTGATATTACCCATAATCTCATCCCCAAAGATGAATACTGTTATCATATTAGCTCTATTTCTAGTTTTTGTTTTCCTCTGCGATAATTTGTCCCTACAGCTGGTAACTGTGGGTACCTAGGACCTTGCTTGACTTTATATGAAGTTAGTAAACTTGTTGACTGATTGCTGTGGTTTAAAAGACTTCTACCTTTGCAGTAAGAGTACTCTCAGAAACTGAGAAGTGGAAAAGACAAATGAAATGACAACAATGGGAACTGTGTCTATCATACAACCTCAAGTTCTGCCTTGTTCTGATGGGGAAAAGTCCATTGTATCCTGAAGTCAGTGCCATTAGTTGTTGAGGGTAATGCACAGCTAGCACTTTTTCTCACAATCAGTGTAGCTTAGTGACAGCCAGATAAATAAGTTAATACTTATATTTGTTTATTGCGTAAAATGCAATTTAGATTAAAAATCTGTAATACTTTCTTTTAATGGCTATACCTTGGCTTAAATAATTTCCCTTGACAGTTTTTTTTTTTTTAAGATTTTTTTATTTTTTATTTGACTGAGAGAGAGAGAACAAGCGGGGGAGCGGCCAGCAGAGGGAGAGGGAGAAGCAGGCTCCCCGCTGAGCAGGGAGACTGATGTGGGGCTGGATCCCAGGACCCCGGGATCATGATCCAAGCCGAAGGCAGACGCTTAACCATCTGAGCCACCCAGGCGCCCCTCCCTTGACAGTTTTGATTTCATTCCTCGCTCTCTTCCAGTAACTTGAATTTTAAGATATATAGGCTCTATGTAAACTGCCCATACTGCTAAGTCAGTCCCTAACAGGAGAAAAGTTAGAGGAAAAAGTAGTGTTGCTTGATCTATGATAGGAGTTTTGGGATTGGGAGTTATTACTTCAATAAGTCATTAAGGATAGTATAAACAACCAACATTTTCTATGATAAAAATGCATTTTTGTCCCCAAGTATATTTTTCAAACTAAAATAAAATGGCCTTAAGATTCTAGTGGTATAACCACTGTACTATTTCCTCAGGAGTTCAGCAGGATATTTTGAATCATGGATTTGCATGGCAATATCCTAATTTAATGGTTCCCAGACTGTGGTCATCAGATCAGCAGCAGCATCGCTTGGGAATTTATTAGAAATGCAATGCCACAGGCCCTTTTCCAGGTATACTGCATCAGAAATTCTAGGGGTGGAGCCTAGAAGTCTGTTTAACAAGCCTTTTCGGTGATTCTGATGCATGGTTAAGTTTGAGAACCACTGTCCTACATCTGGAGGATCTGTCGGTATCCAGTCCTCTGTTCTGGAGTTGGTATCAGCCTGGAAGGAAAAGATGAGTTTTCAGTAGTTTTAGTGGGTACTTTGAAAGCGTTGTGAACATATACCTGGAAGGACTTCCTGACCTTTTTCTTCCCAGCTGTTATCTTTCAGAACATTTGTACTACCCTGCAGGAAAAAGTTTGGGAAACATGAGAGTGGACTGCTGATTCTTATGAAAAATAGTTATAATAGCCATAAATACAATTATAAACTGCACATAAAATTAATAACTGCACATAAAACAAAGATCTTTGATCAAACTGACTTGAATATTATTAGCAAGTTTTATTCTTAACCTATTTAAGTATAAATCATATATTGATCTTTGTAGGACTGTTTTTAGTAGGCTAGGGATTTAGCAAAAGTCAACAAATGTTTGTTAGACTGTGGATGTGATGATTTGTTTTGAAACATACTTGTACTGGGGCTTTACTCCCAGAAGTTCTGATTTAATTCATAAGGGAAGAAGCAACGTTTGGTCCAGGAGCAATAGTTTGACGAGCTCCCTCAGGGGCTTCAAATATGCAGCCAAGATGAGAACAACTGTTTAACATACTTGATAGGTTAGGAACAGTATGTAAAGATACCAGTGACATTGTAAAAATGCATAGTGAATAATCATTAAAGTCTTTTAAACTCTGAAATTCTCTTAATTCCCAATTACCATTTTCAAGAGGTACTTTCTTATTCATTATTCTTGACATATAAATGATATTGGCAAAAGTTGTACATGATCAGTTTTTTAACATGCCCTGCATTTAGTGGGTGTAAGATCTTTGATCTAATATTTTGTGTATAGTAGCAATTACTCTAGTCCTGTTGATTAAAAACTTTAATATGAGTGTTTTGGATTACCAGAAACTTCAGAGTGAATTATAAATGTCTTGATTTTAAAGCCATTAAAAAAAAAAAAGTTCTTTAGCAATTTTGGACTTAGTCCCTTTAGTTACTATAGGCTTGTTGCAATATTTTATATTCCATCCTCCCCACTTTGTTTTGAAACAGACACTATTTCGCACTGCCTACCAACCCTGGTGAACAGTTCTACATGTTTTGCACTCTTGCTGCTTGGTTGATTAACAGAGCAGGACGCCCCTTTGAGCAACCTCAAGAATATGATGACCCTAATGCAACTATATCTAACATATTATCTGAGCTTCGATCATTTGTAAGTGTAAACAACTCTCTTCTTTCAGAATATTGTCAAGTTATGAATTTTAATATTGGTTATTCAATGTAGATGCTACCCTTTTAGATGAATTTTCTGTGAATAACTATGTCTGTGCACACACATACATACATAAAATTATATCTGGATTTTTCAGATAAAACCTCAGAATGGTTGATATTATAATATTAATGCTACTTCTAAAAATGTTCAATGTACTCTTTATAGCCCAAAGTAATAATATTTTTTCTTAAGCTTGTTATGTCTCAGAGGTAAATTTATGGATACTTAGTTCTCCTTCTAAAAAATGCTAGTAGGAAGCTGAAACACTGTATTTTGAAAGGGAGCTTTGATTTAATATACCGTGATAGCAGTTGTACTTTTCATTTCTGACTTTTCCTGGGGGACAGGCAGTAAGAATTTTTGGCACACATGTTATTAACTTTTGACAAGTGATTCACTCTGTCCTTCCTATGGTTGTTTAACGGTAGGATACCTAGCTAGTAGTTTTACTAGTTTTTTCTTTCCACCCTAACAGGATCTATTACTTTTTCTGTCATGAGGTTATTACCTTTCAATTTGATACCTTTGACAATAAAACGTCTTCATTTTCCTTTAGTTTTTTTATGTATCAATGGATTGAGAAGATGAATTTCTAAGAAGCAATGTAATTACAGTTATTTTAAATCCTATTTGAAAAGTAGAGAAGTGATACATTTATTCAGCAGTACTTTGCTTAAAATATTTTGACATTTGGAATATAAATAACAAGTAATACCCTGTTTATCTTTTGTATTTCAGGGCAGAACTGCAGATTTTCCTCCTTCAAAATTAAAGTCAGGTTATGGAGAACATGTATGCTATGTTCTTGACTGTTTAGCAGAAGAAGCATTAAAATATATTGGTTTCACCTGGAAAAGGTAAAAAATTACCCAACCTTGCAATAGGAATTTTATGTGGATAGCTTTTTCCTCTATGGGTTTGGAGCTATTTAATTGAACTGACAAGAAATATTTCCTCTTGACTCTTCTAAACTGAAAATGCCACAGGTGATTACAAATGTCTGCATGGACAAAATTGGAATATCTGGTATAGTCACAACCAGTTCTGATTTTATCATGCCCCTTCCTAGTTCAAATATATAATATTAAAGGTTTAACTATAACTGAGTCTCTTTATCAATGTAGGAAATTTCTTCAAGATCTCTTTATTTATACACACAAAAATAGTATATATATGGGGGTAATTGATAGCTGTAGATTTAAGGAAAAAATGGAAGTTAATATAATACTTTAAATGGGATATTCTCTTTTGCTTATAGATACTGGGCAAGAATAATAGCCACCTGAAGAAGCCACCTGACACTCTCTTAGGCATTGTTCATTGCTTCTTTCTCTGACCTGAGAGTGATTTGTTTATATTTCTATGATTGTATTTATCCCTTGGTATTAAAACATTTGTTTACAGGTCTGGCTTTCTTGCAAGAAACTATGAACTCTTCATATGTACTTTATGGAAGTTAGCATAGTACTTTGTATATCATAGATGCTCAATAAATGTTGGTCACATGGATAAGAGAATAAAATATTCAGAAACTGTCAATTTATATAAGATATAGTTAGGAAATACATAAACTTGGTTCTTTGAAGATTGGAATTATTGACTGGTTAGAGATTGTGGAAAGCATTATTTAGGTAAAACATGAGCAAGCAGTGCTTTGGAATGAGAAAAAATTTCTTTGGAAAGGTGTATATATTGTTCCCTGTTAATATCTTAATGTTTATTCAATTATATTCTCTTATAAATAATCTATTCCCTTATTAATAAGTACTTTAAAAAAATGTACTTGACTTAGGTCATCATCAACTTGAACCATATGAAATTACTGATATTCACCTATTGAACTAAAAAATGGCAATTTAATATGCTTCAACCTAAGTATTACCAGTTAGTGCAATATAAGGAATAACTATATGATTCACATTACTTCTTTATTAGACTCCAAGACAAGTTATGAAATGTGCTTTTGAGATATTATCTAATTCTAATTAATAAAATAGGAAGTTTATTTCTTAAGACTGATTTGGTTCTCAGTACTTTCTTTCCTTAATATTAAATGTTGATTTTCATATTTTGTTAATCTGTCTTGAGGTATGGATTTTTAAATAAGTTTCTAGAAATAAACCTAAATACTTTTGGGTTTTTTTAATATGGGAAATACATGTCATTAATCTTGTTGGAGAAATATGGTCGTTCAATACTTAGTGTGAGGACCACTGATTAGATTTTGGAAGTAAGAAAGCTGGAACCTGGGGCGCCTGGGTGGCTCAGTCGTTAAGTGTCTGCCTTCGGCTCAGGTCATGATCCCAGGGTCCAGGGATCCAGCCCCTCATTGGGCTCCCTGCTCAGTGGGAAGCCTGCTTCTCCCTCTCCCACTCCCCCTGCTTGTGTTCCCTCTCTCACTGTCTGTCAAATAAATAAATAAAATCTTAAAAAAAAAAACAAAACTGGAACCCTTCTTATTCTATCAAAATAAATTTCAGATTGGTCAAAGATATAAATGTGAAAAATGAAACTATAGGAATACTAAAAGGTCAAAGAGGGGTGGGAATGTGTCATGTGAAGGAAAAGCCATGTATATATGATGTTAAAACTGCTAGGATCCACACAAGGAAAGGTTGCCAAGTCTATGTAATAAGAATTGTAACAGTCCTGAATAGCCAAGATTATAGTGATAAACTAGGAAAAATATTTTTGACACAAGCTAGGCAAAGCATTAATTTTCTTAATATACAAAAGGGCAAAGGCCATAAATAGGCATTTCACTGAAAAAGAAACACCAATAACCAATTAAAACATGAAAAGATGTTCACTCACTCTCTTAAAGAAATGCAATTAAAATTAGATTTTTCACTTATATGATTGGCAAAGATTAAAGTTTGTTTGCAGTATTTGTGAACATATAGAAATAGAGTCATTGTTGTTGAGGGTGTGAATTAGAGTAACATTTTGGAAATTGGTTTTTGGTAACATACAGAAAAACAATAATATGTACAAAGTTGTTGACCCAGCTATTATATAAATTTATTCTAAATGATAGACATAATGATGAATGTACAAGGATGATCTCTGTAATATTGTTTAGTAAAAAAACTAGAAACCACCTCAGTGTTCAGCCTCAGTTTCTAATTAAATTAGTTATGGTGCTGTTGTTCAGTGGAATACAGTGCAGGTATGGGGAAAAATAGAGAAAAATGTATATGTACTTAAATGTGGTAAATTAGTAAGTGAAAAAGTATGTTGGATAACAATATGCATTATATCATCCCAATTGTGTATATTTATTCTTTAAATTTGGAGATAAACATTTTTGCTTCTTTACATAGAAAGTTTCAAAAAGAATACATCAAACATGTAACAGTGATTATGGAAAGGGGGTAAAAAGGGACAAGATCTGGTGTAGAGGGGATTCTTAAAATACATTATACCTTTCTGTCTTGCTAAAATGTTTTGTTTTTAACTCTCATCACATACTAAGCCTTATTATTTTAGACCAACATACCCAGTGGAAGAGTTAGAAGAAGAAACTGTCCCAGAAGATGATGCAGAATTAACATTAAATAAAGTGGATGAAGAATTTGTGGTATGTGTGCTGCTGAACTTTTTGTTTCTTTTTACCTTTGAATTCCTTTCCCCTCTCTTAATTCCCCTAGACTTCATTTTTAGGAACATATTTCATTTCATTGTTTCTAGAGAAGAAAAGCTTTTAAATAGAGTACCAAGAATCAGTTATTTAGACCTTTGATTAAGTTAATGCTCATGTTTTCTAATGATTGAAGTCTGAATTATAGCAGAGGTTCTTAAACTGTAGACAGGAAATAGTAGACTGCTAGTTATAAGAGTAAATATTTTATTAGTAACCATTCATGATTTGAAGTAGGCCATAAATACTAAAGAACTTGAAAAAGAATAGTAGGGTTTAGGATTAATATATTCTACTTCGTAAGAACACTGTTCATTTCTCAGCAACTCTTCTTTGCTTCTAAAATTAGGATAAGTACTACCCTTTAGGAATTTTTAAAAATACTTATAAATACCAACGGTATTTAAATTGTTTGGCAGCATATGGGCCTTTACCATTCTTAACATTCCATTCATATTGTGAAACTAAATGATTAAGTCTCTATAACAGATTAAACTAGTAAAATGGTAGAGAAAGAGAGCACTTTCTCAGAACCAGAGATGGATTGACCGTGGTGTTTTAGGAAGTATACCTATGATCTGAAATTGAAATAGCAGGGGAAAAACCCTTTTTTTAAAGTGTATGTTATTGTCATAAGCCAATTACATTTTCCAAGTGAATTTTTAAATCATTAGATAAGGGGTGCCTGGGTGGCTTAGTCTGTTAAGCATCTGCCTTTGGCTCAGGTCATAATCTCAGGGTCCTGGGATTGAGCCCCACATTGGGCTTCATGCTCAGCCAGGAGCCTGCTTCTCTCTCTCTCCCTCTGCCGCTCTCCCTGCTTGTACCTCTCTCTCAAATAAATAAATAAAATCTTTAAAAAGTAAATAAATCATTAGATAATAAGTATATTCTATATTTCAGCTTAATTTGTTAAACTATTATATGCCACAAAGAATCACTTCATCGTTTTTTAGCAAATGCTGAAACTAACCATTAAATAGACTATATCCTAATAGTAGAATATTATGTAGCCATTAAAATTATTTACAAAGAAATGTTAGTGATACAGGGATGATAATTTCTGCTGTACATAAACCCAAGTATGTAAAATATACAAAAAAGAAAAAAATAATATGTTAACACTAGTTATATATGGGTAGAAAGATTATGGATGATTATTTCCTTTTTTTTTTTTTTAAGATTTTATTTATTTATTGGAGAGCGAGTGAGAGAGAGCACAAGCGGGAGAGGGAGCAGCAGACTCCCCACTGAGCAGGAAGCCTGACACAGGGCTCAATCCCAGGATTCCGGGATTATGACCTGCGCTGAAGGCAGATGCTCAACTGACTGAGCCACCCTAATTATTTCCTTTTCTATGCTTCTTTGTATTGTCAAAGTTTTTAACATGTATTTTATCAGCAGTATAAATATTTTAAACCATAAATAGAAAAAAGCTGATTCTGTTATTTACAGAAGGAAAAAGACCATTGTAAAATTAATCAATTTAAAAGATATCTTTTAAAAATATGATTACATTTTAAAAGTGAAGGTAAATATATGTTCATTCATTCTGCATGTGTTTTATTGAGCACCTTTTGGGCAAGACCCTGGTGGAACTGCATGTACAAAAGCTCTGAGTCAGGAAGGAGCTTAGCTTGATCAAGGAGCTGAGAGAAGACCACTGGGGCCAGATTTCCTAAGTAAGGCGGGTGTATGCATGTGTGTGGTTTACGATTCACAGGAAAGATAGACCAGGTCCAGATCATTTTGGCCATTTTAAGGAGTTTCAACTTTATTCCTTGTGTAATAGGTCTTTCCATTCAGGCTCAGAAAATGTTAAGTTCTCACATATTCCCATTCGTTGACCTCATTTATTTTACTCAGGTATTTTCCTCATCTTCTCTTTTTAGTAACTTTATTAGTTAATGGTTTATCGATAGAAATCTGGTCCTAGTACATTAACATTTAGCTTCAGAGACATAACTCAAAACTGCCAGTCAGGGGGAAAAAAGTACAAAAACCTACTAGTCAGAAAGAAGACTCTGTAGGGATGGAAACCAATTTTGCACTTTTTTTCTATCTCCAGGTTACTAGTGCAAAGTGGGTATTCATTCAATATTGGACTCAAAATCAGCTTGTCAGCAAATTGCTATGTAACTTTTAGAAATTATAGCTAATTTTTTTCTGAGAACCCTTTAAAATCCAAAGCAGCATCATTAGGTGTGTAAATTAGAGAAACAAACTAGGAAGCTGCCTCTTTGCATATTTTATCCCAACTGTAAGGTAAAGACCTTCTACTATCATTAGACCAAACGGAAGGTCTTCCTCAAAGGGTTGCCTCTGAGGCTGCTGGTTCCCTTACTTAAAAAGTCTCTTGAATTTTTTCCTTTTCTTTCTTTCTTATTGTCATCATGTTATTCTGAGTAGCCCTCCGTTACCTCTTCATCCCTCTTGCTAAGGAGATGAGTGCCAAAAAGTGTTTGGATTGTGGGATGTTACATTATTTTGTTGCCAGAGTTTGCGTGGTGGCTCAAGCATGGAAAAAATTATTTCTGACAGAGTAAAGTTCTACTATAATCATCTAGAAATTAGAATCCTTCAGATTTAGACTTGTCAAGTCAAGATAGGACACATTGATAACTCTTTTAAAAAAAGATAAAAGAAGTATTGGTCACAAAACAATTTTTTCACCTGCTATGTATAATCATATACTTAGTAATTGGCAGAGAATTAAGAGGGCACATAGTACATATTAGGCAAAGAAATGGTAGGAAATTGTTGAGTGTCTTCTATATTAATGAAATCAGAATCCTCTTAGTTTATTTTAAAACTTTTTTCTAAGTCTGTTTATATTTGAATTCCTTTTGAATGCTCTCTTAGTAATATTTAGTAACTTAAATCCTTTTTTTGACTGCCTACTATTAAAGCTTTTTACCTATTAGCATTTAATCCAGTACTAATTCAACAAGTATTTATTGATTCCCTATGTAAACAGTACTAATTAGGTTATTGTAAAAGCATAATAAACTTGTCTCTTCTCCCATGGGCATTGAGTCATTGGCATTTCAATCATTTACTCTGGTTGTTAAGTAGGTCATCATCAATGCAAACACAGAATAAACTGAGCTGGATCTCAAAGGTGTGCATCTGCATTTATGGCTAAGATTTAAGATGTAAACAGTCACATCAATTTTGTCTACACCTCTGTGCTCCACTGTCCCTCCTCCCTGAATGTAAAAAAAATGTAAACATAAAATAAATAAATGTCACTTGAGTGTATTTATACTCTGCATTTATATTGCTTCATATTTTATAAAATCTTTCCAATTCCCCAAAGTTTAGCATAGTTCTCATAGCTTACCTTAGTATCCCCACCCCCAGAGTTTCAGAGTAGATCTGAGATAGAACCTTAGAATCTGCATCCTAACAAGCTCCCGGGTGATGCTGATGCTGATGCTGCAGATCTCAGAACCACATTTTGAGAACCACTGTCTTACATCCTTCTAAGTTCTTGAAGATGAGGATTATCTTTGAAATCTTCCATTGCAGCTTTGTAGAACTGTACATGTGGAAGTGTCCACCAAATAACACACACTTACTGTTTGTTTTTTTTTCTTTGAGCACCAAGTTCCATTCACTGTCTTACCATGTCCTTAAGTCTCTTGTTAAATTTTTTCACCCACTATGTCACTTGTCACCATGAAGACCTTTGAAGAGAAAGGGGAGCTATTTTTTTTTTGTTCCACAGCTTTAGAACCTGCTCAGACTCCATTTTTGCTGTATATTGGGAAAGGAATTGCCTCTCAAAGGGTCACTTCTGACCCTACCGCCCATACCAGTTGGCCCAGGGATCAGGACCGACTTGGAATCTACTCGAACTATCCTTTAAGATAGTTAATATCTAAGATACATGGTTAGTATCTTAAATATATATTTCATATCTTTAAATAGATTTAATATTTTAATATCTTTAAATAGTTTTAGGGGCCATGAGCCAAGCAGTACTAATGACTAATCTTATTAATTTATTAAACTTGAGCATATAAGAGATGAGATGTCAAAAATATGCATTAATGGGATTGGTCCCTGGAGCAGGTGAAAATATTCTGTGTCTGTCAACCTCATTTTTGTCCGTTTTAGTTATGTTCTCAAAGTTGTCATTAACTCCTTCCATTATCTCTCTCTTTTAGATATGCCATTCTGCAGTGTTTCTTGTTTTATTCTTATGTTTATTTATCCCTAGTTTTACAGCAATGGCCCTTCTCCTGCTTTTTTCTTTTTTCAGTGACTATAAAAAGGCCCTATTTTAAAAGGTACCATCAAAACCTCAAAAAACAGATGAGCTGCTAATAACATTATGCCCTACTTTATGCACACCACTAGGCTTTTAAATACCTTTTCATGCATTAGTCTTTGTGTTGAGCTTAGTATATTATGCATGTCAAAACTTGGAAATACATTCTTTAAATTATAACTTTTTATAATTATTAACTTTTAAAACTCTTTTTTTCTAAGGAAGAGGAGACAGACAGTGAAGAAAACTTTATTGATCTCAACGTCTTAAAGGCCCAGACATATCGCTTGGTAAGTTGCATGGGATACACACAGGACCAACAAGCAATCAGTACACTTGTTCTGCTGGAAATTGAAACAAGTAGAAACCACTGTTTGCCATTGTTTTGTGTGTCATGTGAAAAGTAGCTCTCAAAAAATTGTTTCCTGTATATAAAATGTTACAATTGTAGCAAATAGAAAAATCCAGAGGGACAAGTGGGACAGCCTCATGTCTGCACCATGGAAAATCAACACAGTGCTTCTCACATAAGCTGAAAATAATTTGTCATTTTTTTTATTATAGAAAGACATTATTTGATTTCAAGTTATTTCCCATTGTATTTGGCTAGCATTGAATGGTCTTGATTACAGGAAAATATTTAAGTGGTTACTGTTCGAAATAAAATGGATTATTTTAAGACTGGTGTATGATAGGTAGTTAGACATTGCTTTAAGTCAATGTTTGCTCTGTTTTAATTAGGAAATCTAGTCTATAAACGAGAACCCACTCAATGAGATATTTCAAAAGTACATAAGGGATTTTTGTATTTTCCTGTATGTATATTTCAATAAAGGGATACCTATTGCTTGCTCAAAAAGCTATATATAGAATATAATATTCTCATTTGCCCTTTATTTTTCTTGTCTAAAGTCTACAAACAAGTTTGGATATAGCTTTGGGCGCATATCATGAAGACTTCGGCGGCCATTCTATCCCAGGATGATCTCTTCATTTGTCATTTACTGCCTTAGTAATGTTAGTCAGTGTTATTTGTTACTGTTAATGATACATTTCTTGTTTTCTGCCCAACTTGAGGTGCAATAAAACATAACAAGTAACATTGTAGCTAACTTGCCTGAATGTGTGAGTTGACTTTAATACATTTAATACTTACTAGATGTCTGACCTTGGGCAGGTTTCCAAAAATTCTTGTGCCATATCTTCCTCATCTGTAAAATGAGGATAAAAATATTACCTTTTTCATAGGGTTTTTAAAGATTAAAAGAGTTACTACATATAAAGCATTTATAATGATGTCTGGCACATAGATAGTGCTCAATAAGTGTTGGCAGAAACCAAGACCACATCTTCCCACATTCGCCTTCTCAAATCTGATTTGTATAAACTCCTTGATTATAGGAGATAACTGTCATTTTTTATAGTCTCCATAGTGTAACACAGAAGATGCCCAATAAATAAATGTATTTTTATTGCTCAATTGAAGTTTGAGAATATAATATAATCTGATACAGTATATCATTTTAAATCCAAACAGATAAACTCCAGTTGTAACAGTACATTTGCAGATCACTCTGTAGTTTTCAAAGTACAGCTGACCCTTGAACAACATGGGTTTGAACTGCACAGGTGCACTTACACATGGATTTTTTTCCGATAAATACAATACTGGAAATGTATTTTCCTTATGATTTTTTTCAGTAACATTTTCTTTTGTCTTTATTGTAAGAATACAATATATAATACATATAGCATACAAAATATGTATTAATTAATCAGAAAGCCTTCCAGTCAATGGTAGGCTATTAGAAGTTAAGTGTTTGAAGGGCGCCTGGGTGGATCAGTCAGTTGAGAGCATCCGACTCTTGATTTTGGCTCAGGTCATAATCTCGGGGTCATGAGAGCGAGCCCTATGTTGGGCTCTGTGCTCAGTGGGGAGTCTTCTTGAGATTCTCTCTCTCCTTCCTCTGCCCACCCCCAACTCGCACATGCACACTCTCTCTCAAAAAAATTTTTTTTTAATTTAAAAAAATAAAGAAGTTAAATTTTGGGGGAGTCAAAAGTTATATCCAGGTTTTCGGTTATTGGGGGTCCACACCCCTAACTCCCACATTGCTCAAGGGTCAATTGTACTTTAAAACACATCCTTTACTGACCTTGTAAAGTATTTGGGTAGATGTTGTTATCTCCCTTTTACAGATACAAAAACTGAAATTTATAACCTTGGGACAATATACTCTTAAAAAACTTAATAAAACTACAGTAGCTAAATTTGAACTAAGTTTGCTTTAAACTTCAGCAGGATAGGTATGGTTTGATTCCTACGTTAAATAAGGATACTGTGGTGCTCAGTGTTCCTATATGTGTTGAAAATGACAGCAAAGTTCTAAAGTATAAGGGAAGAAAACAAAAGAGATGAATATGCAGTTATTCTCAGAACAAAACTGTCATTTGTGTTATTTATTCTTCCATTGATAGTATAAATAGAGACCTCTAAAGGCCACCTGAGATTCCCTCTGGACAATGTAGTTTGAGAATTGGGAAGGACTTAAAGTAATTTAATTTGCCTCTACCACTACTCTTAAGTTCCTGTAGGTTCTGATTTCAATTTTTCACCTTAATTGAACTATGTAAGTTTTGCCCTACCTGTGCCTTTATAAATTTTCTAGGTATTAGATCCTTTGGACAAAGATTATATAACATAAACCCCTTTGAGCTAAGACTATATATGGTTGCATTTTCACAAGAGGAAGAAGTCTGAACATCAGGTGTTTGTAGATGGTCAGCCATGAAGTACTAATGAGGGAGAAAACCCTTTCATATTTTAAAAAATCTGGCAGGCTTATAATGTTGCCCACTAAAGCCATCTGCCTGAGACAGCTGTATCTGACTCTAGCTTATGATGGCTTAGACTGCTCTTTCCCCAAGACAGAACTGCTATATAGGTTAGTAACATAGATTGAAGATTTTATGTTTCATGCAGCAGGTGGACTCACAATGCAGAGGAAATATTGTTTTAGCAAAGTTGCACGCAATGAGTTTTTCACTAGAACAAAAATGTTATGTACTATCTAGGAAATTGATATACAAAATGTAGATGTGACTGTGCCACCCCAGCCGTTTATGGATTACAGCAGTCCCTCTCTAGCTGCGGTTTTGAAACAACAGATGCTTCTCCAGTCATTCTCTACTCTCTCACCTTGCTTTATTTTTCTTTACAGACCCTGGCAATGTATTAATTTCTGTCTATTGTATATCTCAATTTCTGTCTGTTGTCTATCTCAGTCACTAGAATGCACTCTCCTCTAGAGTGGGAACTTTCTTCAGTACTTTTTCATTTGTGCCTGGTGTGTAGAAAGTGCTCAGTATGGAATAATATTGAATGAATACATGCTTAAATGAATGCTATTTTATATAGGCAAGGTATAGTTTAATCTTCATAGAGAAAAGAATTGTTCAACAATAATTATGACCTCTTCTATGTACCAAGTAGGATGATGCCGGGAGGAATCTAATATATTCCTTTCTTTCATTAAATAAATTGATGTCTAGATCCTAAAAAAGTGTGCTTGCTCTTAAGTATCATAATAATGCAAGAAGATGAGCATACACAGAATTTTCTTGAGATTTGTGGTAAATGGAGTGAGAGAGAATGTACATGGAAAAGACATGCTGCAGATTACGTTCTCTGGAATTGGACAGTGAGACCAGAGTTTGGGGTGCAGGATGTTCATTTTGAAAGGAAGGGGGAAGAAATTGGGCTGAGGGAGAAGTGTAGCTGTGATTCAGGCCTGACAAAGCTTTGGGCAACCTGCTGAAGCAAGTGTTGCCTGCTTGGCTCAGTCACTGGAGGCAGGCTGCCCTGGAGGGGACATACTGCCAGGTGGCCTCTGCAGGTAAGACAGCCTGAGGTAGCCAGCAGCAGGAAGCTGTCTGCTGGCCACATGGCCTGCAGCGAGGCAGCACATCTTTCCTTGGAAGGAGACCTGGTGGTCGATCTTCCTGACTACCACAACATATTTGAATCCTGTAACTGCTAATTTGAAGAATTTGTAAAGAGCTACCAGGTGCCCACTGACTAAACTTTGAAGTGTCTGCCTACTCGGATCATGACATAGCAATAGTGTTTCATGAACATTGACAATGACATTCTAAGAATATGGTTTCTCCAATCAATGTTGAATGCTTACAGGGATGAAATTGGTTTATATTGGAAGCAGTTGTTTTTCAGAATATTTATTTACTCTGAGGTTTAAAAAGTACATTTTAATGCCCTTTTATTTATCTCTTACTGCAATTATGGTTTTGCCAAATATAATATTGTCAAAGAAAACAACTTTTGCAGTTAGTAAGGGATTACTTTATCTTCCAAAATTTTATTTGTAGGTTAGCTATTTGAATTTTGATAGAGCTTTTCTTAGAAGAGAAAAAAGTGGATAAATATTAGTTTTCAAGGCTAGCCCACAAACTTCCACATTCTCTCTGTCCCTCTGATTCCTGAATATTCTTGAAATCCAAAATTTAGCCAAAGGCTCCTTGAGAGTGGTCATGGGGGAAGACACTGGTGCTGTATTAAAGCTCTCACAGTTGGGCAGAGCCCCTGATGGGTAGGGGTACAGTAGAATGTCAGAGATGTGAGGGGTGGGAGCAGGGAAGGAAGGCGCTGGTGGTGAGGTGTTTGGCAGTTGTTCAGGCCATTTCTGGTTCTATCTCGAGTATGTTAACTGGAAACTGCCTGCATGGTTGTGGCAGCTACACCGTAACTACAAGTGGTCTTTGTAGCTCCCCTCCATTTGGAAGCTCAGAATCATAGCAGTGTTGTGGCAGCGTAACGCAGATGTGTCCTTCTCCCCCACACAGTGAAGAAAAGATGGAAGGGAAGCTGTGCGCTCTGAGTTCTATTTTTAAATGTCCATCACTTCGTTTCAAAACATTTTTTTCAAACATGCCATAGATACCATTCTTCCTTGAGATGCTAAATTTGAGGTTTTAGAAACCAAATTCTGAGTTAGACAGCATAAAACCAACTATCTCAAAAAGTTTAAACACAATTGGTTTTTAATTACTTAGCAAAAAATTCATTGTACCAAAAATGAGAGAATTTTTAGCTTAAAAAGCAAAAGCTGTAAGGAAGCAAAAATCTGGGCTTAGAAAAAAAATGTCATCTCAGTTTTAGAGTGTCATTGTGGCAATTCTGCAAGATTATAATCAAAAAAGGGAAGAAGATGGATCTACTTTGGCTGATATCTTAAATACTTTAAATTTTCATCATTTTACATTTGATTTACATTTCACTTCTTGACAAAACGTCATTTCTGAGTAATATAGGGGGGGAAAAGTACTGTTCTGTACTGCAATATAGCTTGCCCCCTCGGTTATCACTGGTTCTGATTCCTGCTTGAGGAAAATGGTTTTCCTCTCCTTTCCTAAAACATTTGTTTGTCCTCCTGTGTTGTGACTGAGAAGTCTGCGGTTGGTATTTCACAGGAGAAACAATTAAAGCACCACATGTCTGAGCGTGATGGAACACATTATGATTGAGTAAATGCTTTTATTTCTCTGGTAACTAACCTGTACCACCCCATCAGTTTTACATCTGGAGGTGAATAGAAAATGTAGGTTAGAGAAAAAAAGATGTACTCTGCATTGCTTAGAAGAAGCTCAAATGGCAGTTCTTGCTGGGTGTAAAAGAGAGTTTTGCTTGATCTTTAGTGTAGCTTTTGAATCCACGCTTGGAATAGGAAAGGTCCTTATTTCCGTCCTGGTTTTATTGTGAGCCTAAAAAGAAGTAGGAAGCAAGGACTTCTCAAGGTCCTTTCCAGATCTGAGTCCATACCTTCGACGTCGACACCATGGTGGAAAATAATCCTTGAATCATATTGGGACTGCACATCACTAGACACTTAGCCTTAGTAAATTAACCTGTGACTCTGCTTATTCTGTACAATGGTGACACATTCTTCACAGGGTTCTGATATTAATATAACCTAACTTGTGGACAGCACATAGCTTGATGCATTTCTTATTTTGTATAATTTTTCACCTTTCCTAGAGTTTGGAACTAAGGGATTGGGATTAGAATGTTACCAACATTCTTATGTGCTGTAGGAGAGTAGAAAAAGCCCCAATCTCTCTCTCTCTCTCTCTATATATATATATATACACACACACACACATATATATATATGCCATGAGTATTTTTGAGTAAGAA